TTTGAAAAAGAATTATACACTTTAATTTTATTTTTATTTTTTAAATTTATAATTTTTTTATTTTAATTCGACTAATTAGTTATTTTAATCTTAATTTATAATTATTTATATTATACGTAATTATTTTCACTAATACATTTTTAATTATTTAGTAATTATATCTCTCTTAAATTCTCATTTGTACAGTAAAGTAGATATCATACCTAGGACGGAGGGAGTACAATTTCAATAATTCATATTTATGAAATTGATGTTACATATGTTATGATCATCTCTTTGAATTTCCGTTATATTTACTCTATTTAAAGATATGTGGAGCTAAGAAAGAACAAATTTCATCATATAATAAAGAAGATTAGTTTTCATATATATATTTGTGATATTCCACAATACATAAAACATCTCTTATTCTTTCAATAAAATTGTTTTATTATTTAATTGGTAGCTAGTAAAGCCACCCACAAACAATTTGCATTATTTAAAATGCCCATGAATATTATCAATAGCACGAGATAAGAAAAAACAATCAACAAGAATGCCTCTTGACAGATAATATAAAAAATCTGATACAACTAGACGGGCATTCACATACCAACATCAAAGACATAACCAACAAGGTACAAATAATAGTAGTATGCCAATAAATCATATGGATAGCCGACATGCATCGCCATTAACTACATAACTATCCAGAGCTCTTGGTAGCAAAGATAAACCTATGCAGAAGATCTATCCCGTGTATAGTAGTGAAATTCGTGCGCCCAGAAATCTCCCAACGGGAACTCAAAAACTCTACTCCTCGCACGCCCATTCGGGATTACGTTTGAAGTTGGCCAATGATCCTGAGCTACTGGTAGACCTTACTAGTGATTAACTTAATGAGTGGACCAAAATCTACATGATAATGATTAGATAGGGCTATATATTACCAAATATAATCCCCAAAAGACCCTGCGACATAGGTCAATCGGTTGTTCGACTAACTATTGTTATTGCAAAATATAACGGTACATCAATATACGTACGTAAGATGGTGCATCGCCAAATATTACCGTGCATTTCAAATAATAGTAATATCCAAAAAGTTCACACACATAAATCATGCTATATGTATAAGATATGAGATCCACGAAACAAGAGCAATGAAGAACCAAGTGGATCAAATCACAAAATTGAGCCCCAAATAAAGAGATAGTGTTTCGTATTTGACATTGAATCACGGCGGTACAATTATTAAACTATCGAAATTATATCTCAAACACAAAAATTAAGTTGTGATTAAGTGTATGTTATTCTCATATAGTTACTTATCAGTTTCGGTAGCCAGATCAAGCTAACAACCTCGATCAATATGAGACTACCCGTACATTGTTGTAATTGGCAGCTAACTACCTTTAGAAGCAAAATACATGTCTATTCTTTTCTGAATTAGATTAATGATTTTATTATCATGTAATATCAACTATTAATTTCCCAGCTTATTAATATACGAGATGAGCTATCTGGTTATTTAAATAAGCTACTAGCTTATTTAAATGATGAATTTTTAAATTAATCCCAAAAAATTTCTTATGATAAAATAATCTATTGTAATTATAAAAACTTTATATCTAATATCATTTTGACCGACATATTTAAAATAAAATATATGTAAAGTTACGAATAAGCAATCAAGTCTAAATACTGCCCAAATAACTTAAATTCAGATTAAAGTGAAATTCTCAAAATATAAACATAGAGTTATATCTAACATAATAACTTAAAAATTATCGCGATTTAATAGTTAAATATTCAATTATAGATTTTTGAATAATTTTGGTCAAATATTTTATTTATTAAATAAATAATTTAAATCATATTTAAAACTGTAATTCTACTTACCTCAAGGAATATAATACCAAAATCCAAATAAAAATCGGATGGTAAAATTTTTTTTCCTTCTTCCTTTCTTCTTCTTCTTCTCTCCTCTCCTCTTGTTCGAAGGGTGGGCTTGTTTGTTTCTTAATTCCATTATAAAAAATAGAATTATATTATTATTATTATTATTATTATTATTGTTATTATTATTATTATTATTATTATTATTATTATTATTATTATTATATTTATATTTATCTTTATTTTTATCAATATTTATTCGTTTAACGGTCATTTCAATTATAATTGACATACAAAATAAGAATAAATTTTATTTCATAATATTAATTTCATGATCACATTAATATTATCAAAAATTTTATTTGATATAATAATTTTATTTTATATACTCTGAAATCGGAACATTATCTCTTGCACAGACAATTTCTAAAAAAATTCACCGGCGAACTGCGAAAAAAATGAATTAGAGTGTAGAGTACGAAGTAATAGGGATTTTCAATTAAATTGAATGTACAAGAGCTGTAAAATAAAAATACAGTCAAGTTGCCCAAAGGAACACACCTTTAGAATATCAAGCAATGACTTGCCTGTTTTAGGCCATAGTACCCATTAAAGGCCTCATCTTTGTAGTGTGACGAGAGGAACTTGTATTAAAAGAACTTCTTTATATTTTTACCAATGTTGCACCTTTTCTTTAGCCTTGTTCAACCACTATCCTTTAACATGTTCCCACCAAATAGACACATGTTTTCTCAATTTTAGTGCGACTATCTATGATTTTTCTCTCTCTGAGAGATTCTTGATATAAAACACACGCTCTAAGTTATGCAACTAATCAATGAAGTTGTCAAGAAGGGCCTAAACCCTAAAATTCTACCATTTCAATATGAGAATTGAGCAATTCCATTGCAAATGATTTCTAGGAAAAGGGGTTATATTGTCTTCTCTCTCATCCTAATAAAAAATTGGGTTTGCTGTCTCTCTCTCTCTCTCTCTCTCCCCATTTGGGCGTCCAAAATTGTACTCACTTCGTCCCACATAATTTGTTCACATCTGGGGCACGAAATTTTCAGTATTATATAATTAGTAACTAATTAAAAACTATATTAGTAAAAATAATTATGATTTAATAAAATTGATTATAAATTAAGATTAAAATAACTACTGCAACCATGATGTTTTTCGGCTACTTACGACCAGGAACCTATTTCTATGGTACCAAGTCATTCCATTGAAGAAACTGAGATAGCTGAACAAAGAGAATTTTTCCGATCAAATATTGAATGTATTTTATTTATTAAAAGAAAAGTGAATATAAAGATAGAAATATCTGATTTATGATTTAATATATATATAAGATTAAAAATATATATGTGTTTAATTATTTTAATAATTATTTATTTAATAAAATATATATAATAGGGATGTTAGAGAATAAAATTGTATATGATACAAATAAACAAAAAAAATATAAATATTTATTTATGATTAACATAAATTGATTTATAGATAAATGGGAAGTTTTGAATGTGTATAAATATATTTATTTAATGAGGAGAGGGATAGAAATAAAATTTTTGAAAATATTTTGAGTGTATTCTATATGATGTAATAATTTGAAAAAAAAAAAAAAAGTTGATAACATAATGCCAACTTTCGCCAGAAAACCAACCAAACACACCCTAAATATTTATAAGTTCAGAAAATCTAAAGCTCAAAAAAAATAAACTTAAAAAAAAACAAGACCTGATAAATAGAAAATCATCATCCTAAGGTCCTAAACGACCTCAAATGGCAAAAAAAAAAAAAAAAAAACCGTTGGACATCATTGCAGGGACGAGTTCGGTTTGTTTCATTGTTCTAGATGAACAATGTGAATTTCGTCCAATTCCAAACTGTGATACTAAAAAGACAAAGAAAAGTCACAAATTCATCATTTGTTAATGTTGTTACATGTTTTAAATTATATAGTTAGTTATTCGTTTCTTATGTAATTTTGTGTTTATCAACGTTCAATCTTTGAGACTCCAAGTGAAGGTGTAACATATAAATCGTTATGATTAACATTCTATAACATGCACATATATATTATGATATTTGGATTGGCGGTATTGAATGAAGAGATTAATAAATTCTGAGCATGCATAAAAACGTTTTGGAACTTTGCAAGCTAACATATATGAAACGATTGCCTACAAATTTTTAATTCGATTTGTATTTTTGTTGTTATCTAATTTATTTGCAACTTACTCTAATGTATTTCAATTTCAATGCAACTTATGTTTTGTCCTTGATTCTTGCTTGGTTGTTTTTGTGTATTTCTAATATATATTAGGATCTCACTGCAACTTTTTTGTCGGTCTGACTCTTTGATACATTTTTCAAAAATTTATTTTCACTTTACTTTCCAGGTTGTTGACTTTTTCTGTTGTTTATTTTTTCAGGTGTGTCACCTTGATTCAGGATATTGTGTGAATTGCTCTTGAGGACGACATGAATATTTTTCTAATGTGTATTGTGGCTAAGTAGGAATTGGTTAGTTGTTTATTATTTTTATTGTATCTTAGGGCATCTCCAACCTAGCGCCATTAAGGGTTGGTAAATGTGGTATCATGCCTCATTTTTTGGCGTTGCTACAGTGCAATGTCAATTTTGATGGTAACGCTAAAAAAATAACATTGCCTTCTATTTTTTTTAATTTTTTTATTTTTAAATTTATTTTTTAATTTTCTAAATTTTCAAAAAAAAAATATTTTAAGTTATAAAAATAAAATGTTATTTAAAATAATAGAAAAATTGAATATTTAAAGAATAATAATGAAAAATAGAGTTATGTTGAAGTAAAATTATTGTAGTAACTGCATATTTAGATTTAAAACTGGATAAATGAAGTTGATGGATTGGAGATGACCTTAGCAGTGTGACGTATGATTTCATAATCAAAAAGTTTGATTTTTTACGACGAACTAAATGGCGTACCAAAAATCGTAACAAGTCAAGCACATGTGCGAAAAGTACGACTTGTTGTGACGAACTAAGTAGCGTAAAAAAAGCCAAGCCTATGCACGAGCTGGGCCGATTTATTGTGACGAGAGAAATGGCATAACAAAATTATCTCATCATCAGGATTGGAGCCGAGGCTCGAGGCCCGATCCGTCGTTCTCACCACCGAAGTAGAGAGTATTTAAAACATCCTCTTCAGCGAAGAACTCATTCTGATCAGCATGCTGAAATCGTACTTCCGACGCCGTTTTGAGCAAGTCTGCCCACCATTGCATGCAATCGTCTTCTTCTTCCTCATTGGACACGTGGCGTTTGTTCTTCCTCTGCTCGGCTTCCTGCCGCGTCTGGTTAACATTCGTCATCTCTGCAACTTGTCGGGAGTTGGACAAGATATGAGGCTGCGGCCGTACGATCTGGTTGCCCTCCCGGGCAGGGGCAGTGGCGCCAGGCAGCTTGTTGACGGCGTGGCTGTTCCAGAAGTTCTTCACGTCGTTCGCTGTCCTCCCCGGAATTCTGCCCGCGATCAGAGACCATCTGGACGGATCCAAGTTCGTTACATAATTAATTAATGTATAGTATTCATTCGTGGAAAATTGTAAACGTAGCTTTTTCACGAGTACTTGCATGCATGCACGCTAAATATATATATTTTGAAAAATTATTGTCAATATATATATATAGATATTATATGGTTCCCAGAATTATAATATATTATATATATAAATTATTTGCAGCCCTATCGTTTTCACCATTGTAGCATGCACGTGAGCATTCATATTTGTTGTAAATATATTCAGATGTAAGATTGTATTTTTATTTTTTTTTTATATCAAATCACCTGCATGGTCTCCACACATTATGTAATGCCCAGAAAACAAACAATACGTCAATTCTTCATCAGATAATCAGTAATTACTGATTCTATAATTAGAAGAATTGTATAATATACTGGCCTGTTCCCCAAGAGCTTATGAAGCCTGATGAGAAGATCCACTTCATCTTTGCTGAACTCTCCCCTTTTAATATCTGGTTTCAGATAATTTAACCACCTTAGCCTGCAGCTCTTCCTGCATCTGTTAAGCCCTGAAATTGAAATAGAAACCCTAAATAAAATATTATTGATGATGAATGTAGATTAAGTAATTTATTACCTGCTCTTTGAGGGACCAAATACCACTTTCCTTCCCCGTAAGTGTTAATACAGTTGCGCAAGAGACAGTCTTCCTCAGCTGTCCAGCTACCTTTCCTCGTACATGATTTTCCTTTGCTTCCCATTTTGCTGCTGCTACTCATTATATGATCATCTGTTAATACTGTCTGTGTATATGTATATGTATATGTATATGTATTGAAGTATTGTACTGTATTGTATTGCAAGCAATTAATGTGACAATCTTTCTATCTGTTATTGCGGTTTTTGATACACTGTCGTCTTTTGGGGTCCATTCTACACACCTAGCTACATAATCCCTCTTTTATGCATATATTTAATGTTTGTTTAATTCCTTGTCGTGTCCAATTATATGCATGTATATCTGTCGGAAAGTTATTAGTGTATCGCGAGTATATCAAACAATTATCAAAAATTAAAATTCGATAATCAAATTAATTTATCTAGATAAATTCGATAATCACATGGAGTGGAGTTAGACCTTCTCACCCGCTCTTTTTTATTATTATTATTATTATTGTTGTTGTAATTGTAAATTACAACCAAGTAAAAATGTATTTATTATCAAATTTATTTAATTAATTCGACTAATCGCCTGTCATATTCGTCATTATATTGCCGTATTGCTCAATCATCACGACGCAATTGTGTGCCAAGAAACATACGATGAACTTTCATATTCATATTAATTACATCATTTTTGTATATGAAAACTATTACATCATATCGGAAAGTAAAGATGGTGATAATGAAAATGGGAATGAAGAGTCAAATGAGGATGGCCTCTTCTCCTTACGACTACTAGTACTTTGGTATAATCATTCATTCCTTTAAAAAAAAAAAGAAAAAACTTAAATGCCTGTCGAAGTAGTAGCGCCATTGAAGGCCCCAACGAACAGGATTAGAGGAAGATCTTTGGGAGAGTAAGAGAGGAGAGGATGCTTCTATTTTTTGGACAAAATAAACAGTGTTTAAGTTCTAATGGGTTATGTCTATTTAGATGTCTTTCTACTTAATTGAAAATGATGAATTTTCTTAAATTATGGTTTTAGAAGAGAATGTTTTATGTATACTTTAATTTAATACAAGAGAGTTCTAGGCAATAATTAAACATAAAGTATTTTATGTATTTTTATTAAAACAGAATGAGATAATATATAATTTACTCTAAAATATAATTAAAAATTATAATTAAAAAATATAAAATAAAAAAAAAATCTTAATTGTTGAATGATAATAATTATGATTCATTATAATTGTTAATTATTGTTACACATTAAAAATCAGTCCTCGACTTCGGTCAAAATTCTGCCAAAAAAGCCATCAAAATATCAACTCCGGTCCAAGTTGATTTTGAAAAACGTTAATCGACTTTTGGATAACCAAACGACAACAAAAGGAAATGGCCCTGGAAGCCGATCTTGAGCAGACAATTTTTAGACATCTTTTAACCGAATAACCAAATTACCAGCCCCATGATCCCATGACTAAATTAACTAATTTTCAACCTTCCAGTGAACTACTTTTATATACAAGACAACAATAAATTGGAGTATCTTCAATTCGCATACAAATTTTTTGAGAAATTTATTGAGGATCACTAATTTAATTTTCTATAGTATTTTATTGTTACCATTCTTCTAATAGCTCAGGGATTTTCTTTCTCAAGCTATAAAAATCAAGTTCGAGTTTTTTGCCTTAATTTTACTATTTAATTGTTAGATTTTCTCATTTAACAAATTGACGACCAAAGTAGGAAAAAGGAACATAGTTGATCTCAAGAATGAAACGTCCTTCATTTGTCTTTTTTCCAGCCAAATTATTAGAAGAATTCATGTGGCTAGTTCACAATACCCACTAGCGGGGTTTCTGCCACTCTTCCTCGAGTTGACTAGATAGAGTATGTTCAAATGATGAACAATAAAAAAAAAATTCAACTACACTGGCTATATTGAGCGATTAGCATAATCCAATGCAAAATATGTTGAAGCAAATGTTGGCCAAAATGACTATGTAGTCAGCCTCAGCATCAACAGATATATGTCCTACTCGCCCTAATGCTACCACTGGTGCACCATTGTTCGTGGATAGCACCTTACAGCCAGTAGGCCACAAAAGGAGAAAACACCTGCAATATTTTCTAACAATGTACCCTTAAGTCAAAGGCAGGTATATTCTCCACCAGCATATGCGCAAGAAGTAGCAGATTATAGAGCCGTCAAACCTTGAGCGAACACATGATTTATTGCTTGCTAGAGTTACTCTAGATAATGTTGTTCAAATTTTAATGGTTTATTTCAAAATAAACCCACAAATGAACAATCAATCAAGATATCAAAGGCCACTCTTGGAAAGGATGGTGACAAAACACCTATTTCCAGGAAATTTTCGGCCACCCAAGTTCCACCCACATTTTTAGGAGTGGATGGCGCTTCTATGTTTGATCATGTAGGAAGATTTATTGAGAATTGAGATACAATCCATATTTCAAGTTATATTTATTTGGTCTTTCTTTGACTAAAACAACCTTGTAGTTCATGGGATTGCACCAAAGCAGTTTCGGACCTAGGAAGATATGAAGAATGCTATCCAAAATTGATATAGTCTTGTTGATCGATTTACTAAAGACAAAGAAAATTTCTGAAAAATTTCATAAATTTAATTGAAATAATTCGGCATTTGGAAAGGCAATGCACTACATTTTTTTTAAGAATGTGAAGTGACCAATTGGTAGTCTGAAACATGAACGCACGATTGATAGAACAATTAACTACCCATGATATAACTGATTTGGCCCAGTTAGCATCAAATGTCAACTGATGGGAGAATCATTTTTCGAAAAATGACCAGTCACTCTACAAAAGTAAAGCACAACGGATGGCCAACATGCATTTGAAGTCCTATTATTTAAAAGTGGATAATATGAACAAAATAGAGGAGATGACAGTCGAAATTTTTGAAGGGAAACCTTATGTTTGTTCGAGGTTTAAGCCAACATCTAGAGGCAAAAGAAATCAAGATCAGCCATCACTTTATGTTTCCAAAGCAGATAAGATTTTTTATATTTTATTGCCTGATGGACAAATTGTCAATCCCAAGTGGTAACACTTGGCTTCAAATGAGGGAATTAAGGATAAACCTTGATGCAAGTGATATAATTCCTTCACCCGTATGACAAACCAATGCATACACTTCCAAAAAAAATTTCAAAAGGCCATCAAAGGCGGACATCAAAGTACATTACATTGGGAGTTGAACAACAACTTTTTCCAAGGGTCACTACAATAACCATTTTAGCCCAAGTGGAGGACAAAAATCAGGACAAGCACCACAAAAGGGAAAAGGTCGCCATGGCAACCTAATTGACACACGAAGATAAAGGAAAATCCCATATAGAGAAAGTCCAAATAAAAAGTGAAAAGAAGATCGAGAAGGGCACAAGAAAAAGAAAAATAAAAGTAGATCCAAAGTAAATAGTATACCCAGTACCCATAACCAAAAAATAAGATGGTACTGATGGTACTTATCAAGTAGAAGTCAATGATAGAGTACTAGTGCACGAACGTTCCGTGTGAAAACTCACTAGATAGCATGTGATGATGAACGATGGAATACAGATAGAAAACATTTGCCTCCTAACATAGATTCTCAATTTTCAGGGATGAATTGGACCTAAATTAGAAATATGAAGAGATTATATGCAATACGAGAATGGAGGAAATATTCACAGAACCACACAAGATTTCATTGTTTATATAAACTCAATAGGAGAGATCGGGCTCAGGAACATGAACTGGTCACGCACGAAGCAAGGGGTGATGAAATAAGGTATTAGTCAAAATTCAGAGATACTATGGGTCCAGAGATAGAGCAATAAGATGGCAATCGAACAAAGAAAATAAAGACATGTTTTCGTAAAAGGTAAAAGCAAAGTCACATACGACAAAGCCATGTATCAATTATGCAAGCACTGAAATAAAATCAATGTGGATCTACAACTCCATGATCGAGTGATTCATTAAGGACCTAAGGTCAGATTCCGGTCTTTTTCACCTTTCGAGATGTAGGCCCTGATGATAGAAGAGATTCCAAGTTGTATGAACGAAGTTTTAAAAAAATAATTTGATGTTGGATAATTTGATGAATTTCAATGATGAGGATCTGAACCAGACAAGTATAAAATCATGATAGACATTCAGGCTAATAGTCCATTATATAGGTTTTTAAAATCGTTGAACGCAAAAGTGTATTTTCAAATGACAAGAGTTTGGGCTGAAGAAACGGAGATTTCATGGTCCGAATTTGCTAACCTTAGTGAGTTCAAAGAGGATAAACCTCATGGATGATGATGGAAGTACCAAATATGGAGGAACGACGACTTGAAATCCCGAAGAAAAACCTTCGATTACCTTTGCACCCATTTCAAAGAAAAGTATACCTCATTTGAAACCATTGTTCATGACAACAGACATCAATGGAAAATTGTGGATAAAGTATTCATTGACAACGAGGCTATTTTCAATGTCATGCCAATCAAAATATACAAGAAATTGTGTAAAAGTATATTGGACTTAGCTTAAGTGAACATAGAATTGAGCAACTTCACAGGACATCCTAGTAAGCCTGAGGAGACGATGATAACACCAATAGAGTTTGGTCTAAAAATGATTTCAATAGTTTTTTTTTTATGGTGGATGCAAATACTACATACTTGGTATTGTTGGGCCGAGAGTAGACAACATCCCAATATGTTCATTTCACATTTCATTAATAGTTGATGTTTAGGAAATAGGGCCAAGTTCTTACAATAGATGCTACCCCAAATCCATTTCAATTAGTTGATACAATAGAGGAAGTTGTACTCTATTCAGGTCACATCCCACATATCTCACAAATATCACTTGTTAGTGATTACTAATGGAGTTGTAAAATTGCAAATAAAGGGTATTTTTATTTAAATAGAACAAATATGTATATTATGGATATATATATAACCAAGTCTTTTATAATCTTAATAAAGTTAGTTATGTTGAAGATAATTACAAAATTCATTTGAAGATAGAAGCTTGAGTGCACACAGAGAAACTAACTTCAAATGGCCTCATTAATAAAAAAGTAGGCA